AATGGCCATTTCGGCTCTACTTGTTTTTATCGGTTCAACCTTACCATCTCTAGATTCCAATTATTATCGGACTAAACCTCAGTCCCACTTTCCTTCAAATTAATTTTTTTTGCGCCTGAAACGAAGCGGATTTTGTTAATTCAGGGCCGCAGGTTTGAGGCCAAAATGCATGTTTATCGTGATTGATGATTAGGTGGACGTCAGAATCTGTCCTAGAAACATATTTTGGTACAAAATGACGACGTCGCATGCCAGCGGTTATAAAGACGGTCAGTGGTTAGCTGCTAAAGTCTCAAAATGTGACATCACAGTAGGAATCCCCGGGAATTGTTTGTGTCATTCGCTGGGCAACTTATCGGTCACACAGAAGTTCTGGTTTTCTCCCATTTAGATTCAAGTCCAAGATAACTTCCAGTAAATGAATTCGCCCTTAGCGTTCTTGTGCACATGGATGCCTCCCTCCATTCGTCTTCCATAGCTAACACTTTTTTTCCTGGAAACGTGAGTTGACATTCGCTTTTATTTGTGACCCCTAAAAAAGGACGGCTGACTGAGGCAAAATAGGCAATTTTTCCTTTCAAAATAAACTAAGAAATAAATAAATAAAATAAACTTTACCGTGCTTCACCTTCCTGACAAATGCTTTCAACTTGGCTGAAAAATACGAACAGACTTTGCATAAGAAAGCCTATCAAGGGGTTACTGTCCTTCAGGTGAAATTTTCATTCCGTCAGGGCTAATATCTTAACATATATTTTCGGACATATACGAACTTCCAACTTTCGACCTTTCAGGCGTACGAAGAAAGACCTCAACAGGTCTGGCTTGTATTCGCTGGACTGCAGTATTTTAGGATGAGAAAATATTGTATGCAGTTATCAATAGAATTGAATATGCGAGTTCCAGGAAGCATTTCAGAAGAAAAAGAAGCGATCACTGGAACAAGAGGTTTATCGTCCTGACGTTTAGGATTTCGTCGGGATTCATTATTCATAGGTAAATGCCACAGCGTTCTTGTCCGCGTCGGATGCGGGTTCGATAATTTCGC